AGTCCTGCCACCCCAGCATTTGATGGGTGAGATGGTACTGTGTTCTGGGACACTGTTTCCACTCAGTTCCATGCCCTTGAGATCACCCAAGCTGTTGTGTGTATCAGCAGTTTGAGGAACAACGGCTAAATTTTGGTTTTGTTTTTTTGATTTTGGTTTTGGTTTTGGTTTTTAGTGAGAGTTTCACTCTGTTGCCCAGGCTGGTGTGCAATGACAAGATCATAGTTCACTGCAGCCTTGACCTCCCAGGCTCAGGTGATCCTTCCACCTCAGCCTCTCAAGTAGCTGGAACTACAGGCATGTGCCAACACACTCAGCTAACTTTGTAATTCTTTGTAGAGACACGGTCTCACTATGTTGCCCAGGCTGGACTCAAACTCCTGGGCTCAAGCAGTCCTCTCACCTGGGCCTCCCAAAATGCTGGGATTATGGGCGTGAGCCATCAAACCAGGCCTAACAACTAGTATTTAACTTTCATTTCAAAAAGAAAGTAAGAGACAGCACCAAATACATCGCTGAACTTCAAGTAAATGTGATTTTTTTCATCACAGAAGATAACCTTAAAGTGGTGGTGGAGTTGAGATGACTGCGGAGGCGCTGGCGGGTGCTGTGGTGGGAGCAACTGGGGGTGTCCTGAGGTGGCCCACATGTCACACGCACCCCTGTCAGCCTTGCCTCGCGTGTTCACAAGTCTGTTCACAGTGCTTTTGTTGATGAGAAGTTCTCTGGCCCGGAGCCCAGGACGTGTGGCAGTGCCGTGTGGACCATACCGCTCTCTCCTGTAGCTAGTGTCTCCTTGTCCTCGGAGGCTCCTGAGACATCCAGGCACATCCTCTGTGCTGACTTCAGGCCCACAGTGTGTGGGGGTGACTGCAGGTGGCCAAGCTGGCTCATGTGGCCAGCCCGTTGGCCCCTCCCTGCACGTTGTGATTTTCTTTTCACAATTCAGTTCTCAGTTCTGTCCGCCAGTCGCCCAGCATGTATGGCACTTGCCCTCAGCAGGCACACTGGGCTCCTGGTGGCAAGGCAGTCTTGGTGCTCTACAAGTCAGGCTTGACCACAGGTGGATGGCCAGAGACAGCCTGTCACATGGACACACCACCAGTCATATGGACACGTGTGACACATGGGCATACTGCCTGCCATGTGGATACAATAGCCGTCACACAGACACACTGACTGTCACATGTGCCTCTGCCTCCAGTCTGGAGTGGGGCTGCAGCACTGGCCCCTCCTGGGTAGAGCTCACTGTAGAGCCAGGGTTTCCTGGGCCAGTACCGGGGCTCACAGGCCAGGAGCCGCCCTGCCCTTCTCACGGATTCAGCGGTTTGGGGCATGAACAGTCCTTTTTAAAGAGAAGCAGACGTATTTTTCCCACTGCCCACCTGCACCAACAAGCAGCGCAAGCTGAGCAGATGGGACTTGAGCATCACCTGAGCTGCACTGGAATGGGATTGCCTACTGGGGGTGAGCACTGGTCCCAAAATATGCCCATGACCCAACCCCAAGCCTGTGACTGAGACTTCATGTGGCAGTGGGTCACTGCAGAAGTAACGAGTTAGGATGAGCCATTCCAAGTAGGAGGGCCCTGGTCCCTGTGAGTCCTCAGGAGAGAGAAGTGTGGACACAGAGATGCAGGAGATGGCCTTGTGACGGCAGGGGCGGCACTTGGAGTAATGCAGTCCCACCCAAGGAGCACCAGATACCCCCCAGAGGGCAGGAATGCAGCCCTGGGCCTGCTGACACCCGGCTTCCAGCCTTAGCTGGGGGCTCTCCTGTCCTCCCCCCACCCCTGCACTTGAGTGGGCTGGTGTCAGCAGCCATTGGAGACCAGTCCACCCGACAGCCACCGGGGTCCCAGAGCCCTTGGGCCCCTGGCGTTCACTTCGTCCCCCCATGAGTGACCCCTGTGCCTCAGGCTGGTTCTCCTTCACTTTAGCCCTTTTGCAGGTGAGTTCACAGGAGGCATTTCTGCGTCCAGCGTCTCTGGCTCATTATTCTACTTGAACGTCATTCGTGGGATGGTGGTGTGATCTGTTCCGGTCAGTACCACCTAGCCTGCACAGGGGCAGGCTGCCAGATCACGTGTTGCACACACAAGTAGCTCTGAATTTTGGCTTAGCAGATACTGTTTAATGCAGGTGTGTTCTGTGCAATGTCTGCAGCATGTTTATAGTAAAAATTATCTGTTGAGGCTGGGCATGGTGGCTCACGCCTGTAATCTCAGTACTTTGGGAGGCCAAGGCAGGAGGATCACTTGAGCTCAGGAGTTCAAGACCAGCCTGGGCAATGTAGTAAGGCCTCTTCTCTACAGTAAGTCAAAAATTAGCCTTGTGTGGTGGCACGTGCCTGTAGTCCCAGCTACTTGGGAGACTGAGGCAGAAGATCGCCTGAACCCAGGAAGTTAAGGCTATAGTCAGTCACGATCTCACCACTGCACTCCAGCCTGGGCAACAGAGTGAGACTCCAACTCAAAAATAGAAATGCCTGGCTGAGCTTGGTAACTCAACCTGTAATCCCAGCACTTTAGGAGGCCGAAGTGAGTGGATCGCCTGAGCCCGCAGGCTTGAGACCAGCCCAGGCAAATTGATGAGACCTCGTCTCTACAATAAATAACAAATTAGGTGGGCATGGTAGTGTGCGCCTGTAGTTCCGGCCACTTGGAAGGCTGAGGTGGAAGGATCACCTGAGCCTAGCAAGTCGATGCTGGGGTAGCCTTGAGTGTGTCACTGCACTCCAGCCTGGGCGACAGAGTGAGACTAACTAAAAAAAAAAAAAATGTATCTGGTGTTTATCCGAAATTCAGACCTAACCAGGTCTGTCATGGTCTGGGGTGACAGTGGCTCCTGAGCATACTCCCCTCACTGGTCATCAGAAGGTGGCATGTGGGGGGCTCCCCAGAGGCGGTGGGAATGGGCAAACGTAGTGTCTGTGGGTCTGTCTGTCCTCTGCTCCCCAACTTTGGTGACGAGGGTCCTGGGGAGGGGCCTCTGGAGAGGGGCCTCTGACCGCAAGTCTGAGCGGGGCCAGCGGTGAAGACCCAGGCCCCTTGCCAGAGCTGCTCCGTCTTCGGGGCCAGGTCATCATGGGGATGTGCAGAGAACGGTGGCAGCCAGAGGTCTGGCAGAGGACCTGGGCCAGGAGTTGGGTGGGGGGAGGCTGGAAGGGTAGGTCCCGACTGGTTAGTTGGCGACTTAAGGAGCCCCTCTCCTCCAGGGTGAGCTCTCCTCAGGAGGCAGGACCCCCACCCCGGCTCACAGGTACCTCAGATTTGGAAGCGTCCTTCTCTGCTATGGTTCCCTTGCCTGTCTGTGGCGACTGTGATCCCATCTGGGTGGAGTAAGGCTTGAGGGAGAATTGATCCCCTAGTGCAGGTGATCTTTGTCTCTCCCTGACCCCACTCCTGCCCAGCTGGCTTCTGGCGCTGTCCCCTGTGGTTTTGTGTCACCAAGAAGTACTTAGAGGCCTCTGATGAAGCCTCGTGAGGGAAAGCTGAGTCCGGGGAGTGTTGTGGAATGGGGAAGGCAGTGAGGAGGTGGATGGGCAACGTGGCCAGGATAGCTGCCGCCCTAAGGAGGTTGACGGCTATGAGCAGGCTGCCAGTTCCCACGGTTTCTGGTGCTTTCTTTTCCTCACAGGATGTACTTGCTTTTTGATGCAGATGGCAGGGCGCCCTGGGCGTGTGGCTCCCCTCAGCGGAGAAACCACCCCTTCCCCTCCTACCCCCAAAACGTTGGTAAAGTTTCAGGAAGTAGAGACTGGGCGGTGGCTCACGCCTACAATCCCAGAGCTTTGGGATGCAGGAGGTCGAGGCTGCAGCGAGCCAAGATAGCACCACTGCACTCCATCTGGGCCAGAGAGCAAGACCCTTCTCTAAAAATATGTTGCTAAAGATTCAGGAAATAGTTGAAGGATGAGAAGAATTTATAAAGTGATCTCTTTGGGAAAGGAAGGATGAGCACAGGAGTCCCTGTCTCATCCCTGCTTTACTCCTCAGCACTTTGGGAGGCCAAGGCGGGAGGATCACTTGAGCTGAGGAGTTCAAGACTAGTCTGGGCAATGTAGTAAGACCGCTTCTCTACAATAAATCAAAAATTAGCCTTGTGTGGTGGCATGCACCTGTAGACCCAGCTACTTGGGAGACTGAGGCAGAAGGATCGCTTGAGCCCAGGAAGTTAAGGCTGTAGTCAGTTATGATCTCACCACTGTACTCCAGCCTGAGCAACAGAGTGAGACCCCCCAATTCCAAAAAAAAAAAAAAAGAAATGCATGGCTGGACTCGGTGACTTAGCCTGTAATCCCAGCACTTTGGGAGGCTGAGGCGGGAGATAGCTGGAGCCCTGGCCTCGTCGTACCTGTGCCCCAGCAGCTCTGGGTCCAGTGAGGAGGTGTAGTGAGTGGAGTGGAGGCTCAGTCAACCAAAAGTACGCCACCCCAGCCACCGGTGACTTCCCTGAGCCAGCCCCACCCTGGAGACCCAGGTGGTTGAGACCCTGCTCAGCTGTGCCCCTGTGGCTGACCGTCCAGTCGGGTGGGCAGCGTCAACACACTTGAAGCCCAGTGAGGCACAGCCAGGTGCCCAGAGAGGCCACACCGGAGATGATTTTGTGGAGGTGGCCAGTGACTGAGTAGGGCCTCAGGACCAGCACAGACAGGGAGGGGTGGGTGTGGGGTGGGGCGCGCCAGCCTGGTCAGGGGGGCATTCTTGAGCCCTTTGTCATTGTGGGCAGCGGTTGCCTCATCTTCAACCTAGAGCAGGAGCATGCACCTCTGGGGTCAGCGTGGCTGGGGCTCATGTTGCAGGGCAGGCATCTCAAGGACAGGCTGTGGGCAGCCAGAGCAGATTCCAGAACCCAGGGAGGCCCTGTTTCTGCAGGTATGCCCCGGCCCCCGGGCAGGCAGGTCAGGCAGGCCTGGACATAGGTGGGCAGTGGGAATGGACATAGGTGGGCAGTGGGAATGGCAGCGCAGTACCCTCATGATTTCTCTTCTGCTTTTAGTCACCTCACTCCGCGTTTTTCCGAATTGGACGGATGAGCAACGTGGACCTGGACGATGAGCTGATGGACCCGGTGAGTGGCAGGGATGCTCCCTGCTCTGTCCACTGTTGCCTCCCAGCAGGGGCCACAGTACCCACCAAACTGGGAGGGCGGGAGCAGCACAGCAAGCAGACAGTGGGGCCCCAAAGGCCAGGGCCCAAGGATGACACGGGCCTGAGGCCAAGTGACCAGTGGCAACCAGGTGGGCAGAGATGGGCAGAGGCACTCTTGGCAGGGGAACACAGAGCCCGGGGCCCAGCCGACGTGAGCTGTGGGGTGCAGGAGGCAGTTCAGGATGGCAGGTGATGAGGGCAGCAAGTGGGCTCTGGGAGCTGGGTCAGAGCAGCAATCTCAGGAGGGTGTGAAGGGGCCGTGATGTCCCCTGACTTTAGAGGACAAAGTTTCTGGCATTCCCAAAGATGGCTGGTGGCTGCCCTGGTAGTCCTTTCTGGGCCCCCTGCAGAACCTGCATTTTTCTTCCTCCTTGTGGTGGTCTGTGTGGCTCTGACTTGTGGTTCCTGGTGACTGATGAAGTTGCACCTCCTCTCTTGCTGCTGGCACTTTGTCTTTGGAGAAACGTCTGTTCTGATCCCGTGCCTGGAACTGATTTAGAAGGAACGAGCTGGACCTGAGTTTTTAGCACCCCAACTTTGTTGGCAACACCCAAGCGTCCTGGTCACCTTAGGCTCCTTCTCTCCATCAGGCTGATCAGGGCTGCCCTGGACCCCATCCGTGTCCCAGGGCATCTCACAGACAGCTCGGTCTGGTGTTCTCGGTGGCCTCAGTGTCTACAGGAGTGCTGTGTAGTTGTCCGTCTTCCTCATAGCTGACGCAGTGGTCAGATGGTGGCGCAGTAGTCAAGCCCGTGTCTCCTGGGGGCGCTCTCCGAGGATGTATGGGCTGCCTCTGGAGCCTCACTCTTGGGCCAACAGAAGCTCGTTTTTGTGGCTGTGGACACCTTTCAGCATTGCCTGTTTGCTCTTCAAAGCCTTTGCTTTGACTTCAGCTTTGGGAGGGCAGAAGGAAAACAAGATGTGGAATTCAGAAGCCAGGCAGCTCCAGCCTCTAGACCTGTAATGGGTGCCCTGGCCACATGTGCATTGGTTGTGCCCATTTTTTAATTGGGTTGTTTGTCTTTTTTAAGATTTGAGTTGTAGGAGTTCTTTAAATATTATAGATTCAAATCTCTTACCAGATACATGATTTTAAAACTTTTTTTTATTTTAAAGATGTGGGGTACAATTCAGGGTTAGGTATGCATAAGTTCATTATGCAGATTTGCTTGTTGATGAGGTGTGCCCCCCCAGCAGATTCCCACTACTGCCAGTCTTGCCACCCTCCCACCGCAATAGTTTCCCACTACTGCCAATCCTTTTCTTATAGTATTATGATAATTGTTCAAGTTTCACTCGTGAGTGAGAATAAAGCTCTCTTAAATTCACTGGGTTTTCTGGTCTTCTCTGTTCACTTTCTTGACGGTGTCCTTTGATCCACAAGTTTTTATTAGTTTAAAAAAATTGTATTTTTTGAGACGAGGTCTTACGGTGTTGTCCAGGTTGGATTCAAACTCTTGGGCTCAAGTAATCGTCCTACCTGGGCCTCCAGTAACTGGAACTGTGGGTACATAACACCTCTCCTGGAATAAACTTTTAATTTCGATGTAGTTTAGTTATCTATTTTTTCTTGTGTTGCTGTACCTAACCTAAGGTCACAAAGATTTACCTGTTTTTTCCTAAGAGATTTGTAGTTGGTCTTTGATCCATTCTGAGATGACTTTGGGGTGTGGTGGGGGTAAGGGTCCAGCTTACTCTTCTGCATGCGGGTATCCAGCTGCACCAGCTCCATCCCCTGCAAGGACTGCGTTTCTCCATGGAATTTGTCTTGACTCCATTGTCAGCAAACAACTGGCCATACATGTTTTTTGGGGTTTTTTTTGAGTTGGAGTCTCACTCTGTCGCTCCTGGCCACCACAGCCTCGACCTGCTAGGATCCGGTGATCCTTCCGCCTCAGCCTTCCAAGTAGCTGGAATTACAGGCATGCGCTACCATGCCCGGCTGATTTTTTGATTTATTGTAGAGATGAGGTCTCGCTGCCCAGGCGGGTCTCGAACCTGCGGGCTCAGGCAATCCACTCACCTCAGCCTCCCAAAAGTGCAGGATTACAGGCTGAGCCACTGAGCCCGGCTGGCCATACATGTTTTAGAGTTCTTCCTGAACTCTCAGTTCTGTTCCATGTGTCCATACACTTTTCCTGGTGCTAGGACCATGCCACCTTCATTACTGTGGTTTCCAAGTGAGCTTCGAAATTGGAAGTGTAGTCCTCCAGTTTTGTTCTTCTTTTTCAAGATTGCCTGGGCTACTCGGAATCCCTTTTGTTTTTATATATTTTAGATCAACTTGCCAATTTCTTTTTAAAAAACCAGCTGAAATTTAGAGGGATTGCATTGAATTTTAATAATATTAAGTCTTCCTATCTATGAATATAGACTTTCTGTTTACTTAGGACTTTAATTTCTTTCAACAATGTTAGGTAATTTTCAGTGTACAAGTTTTACACTTTTGTTAAATTTATTTTAGAAATAATTTTTATTTTGCATATTTTATTTTTGATACTATTGTAAATATAATTGTTTTAATTTCATTTTTGGATTATTCATCGTAAGTGTGTAGAAGTACGATTGATTTTTGTACTTTTCAATCTTACTGAATTTATTTACTAATTTGAATAGCTTTTAGTGTATTTCTTAGGGTTTACTATATACAGAATCCTATCATCTGCAAATAGAGGTAGTTCCACGTCTTCCTTTTTAATCTAGATGCCTTTTGTTTCTAGAACCTCCAGTACAGCCATGAAAACGAGCATTCTTGTCTTGTTCCTGATCTTAGGATGAAAGCTGTCAGTCCTCTACTGAGCATGATAGTACCTGTGAGCTTTTCATAGATTCCCTTGATCAGATTGAGGAAGTCCCCTCCTGTTCTAGTTTGTGGGGTGTATTTATCATGAAATGATGTTGGGTTTTGTCAAATTCTTTTTCTATGTCTATTGAGACATTTATGTGGGTTTTGTACTTTTTTCTATTGATAAGCCATGTTACGTTAATTGATTTTTGTGTTTTTTTGTTTATTTGGGGAGTGGGAGGTGGTTGGAGACACGGTCTCACTCTTTGCCCAGGCTGGAGTGCAGTGGCAAAAAAGTAGCTCACTGCAGCCTCAAGCTCCTGGTTTCAAACGATCCTCCCACCTCAGCCACTCAGTTGGCTGGGACTACAGGTGTGTCACAATGCTTGGCTTTTTTGGGTTTTTTTGGTAGACGTAGAGTCTCGTTATATTGCCCAGGCTGATCTTGGAGTCTCATTCTGTCGCCCAGGCTAGAGTGCAGTGGCACACTTATGGTCACCCCAGTGTTGACCTGCTGGGCTCCAACAATCCTTCCACCTCAGCCTTCCAAGTAGCCAGAACTACAGGCGTGCGCCACTGCACCCGAATAATTTTTTATTTATTGTAGAGGCAAGGTCTTGCCAAATTGCCCAGGCTGGTCTTGACCCCTCAGGCTCAGGCAGTCCACTCGCCTCGGCCTCCCAAAGTGTTGGGATTACAGGCTGAGCCACAAAGCCCGGCTGCCCAGGCTGATATTAAACTCCAGGCCTAAAGCAATCCTTCTGCCTTGGCCTCCCAAAGTACTGAGATTTATAAACTTGAGCCACTGTGCCCAGCCACATTAGTTGATTTTTTGGATCTTAAACTAACCTTGAATGCCTGGGTTAAATCTAACTTGTCTTAGTGTCACTGGATTTGCTTTACACATCTCTTGTTGAGAATTTTTGTGTCTATATTTGTAGGGGGTATCGATGTGTAGTCTTCTCATGATGTCCTTGTCTTTGGCATCAGGATAATACTGGCCTTGTGGGTGAGTTGGGAAGCGATGCTTCCTCTTGCCCTTTGTGTGTCACTCTTCAGTGTCCTAGGAGGTCAGTTGTGTCTCTCTCTTGGCCTCTTCCCTCCACAGGAAATGGACCCTCCCCATCCCTTCCCCAAGGAGATCCCACACAATGAGAAGCTCCTGTCCCTCAAGTATGAGGTGGGCCTCCTCCCAGCCACCCTTGCCCCGAAACCCAGGCCCCACCCCTCTCTAGCCCCACCCCTTCTCCAGTCTCCTGCCACGCTTGTACCCGGGACGCAGGGTCAGTGACTGGCATTGTCCCTGGTGTCCTGGTCTGCAGAGCCTGGACTATGACAACAGTGAGAACCAGCTGTTCCTGGAAGAGGAGCGGCGGATCAACCACACGGTGAGCCGAGGCTTCGACCCAGGCAGGTCTTGGCGACCCGGCATGGGCCTCCTCGCCTCTCCTCCTCCCTCCCCTCCTCCAGCCCTGAGGCTTCCCGTCCTGAGTTGCTGTCTGTTCCTCTGGTTTGTGTCCTGGTCCCCTGGAGCAAGTGGAGATGGCAGGAGAGGATGTCAGGGTCGTGGCACCTCAGAAGGCCATCCTTGCTGGTATCACGTGCAGTGCCCAGAGTACCAGCCACTGACTGTGAATATGTTGGGAAGGCCATCCACCACCCCCACATTGCCCACACCCATGGTTGCTCGGACATTGACTTCAGGCTGCCCTGGGTGGTATGCCCTGCATAGCTACCTTCAGAACCCCAGAGCCTACAGGAGCTAGGGAAAGCCACGTCCCTGCCAGAGCGGGCTGCGCCAGGGCACCTGGCTACCACACCCCTCTGACCTCCACCCTCGCAGGCTTTTCGGACTGTGGAGATCAAGCGCTGGGTCATCTGTGCCCTCATCGGGATCCTCACAGGCCTGGTGGCCTGCTTCATCGACATCGTGGTGGAGAATCTGGCTGGCCTGAAGTACCGGGTCATCAAGGACAGTATCTTCAGGACCACCCAGCATGGGGCGGGCACGGGCTCTGGGGGTCACCTCCATGCCCAGTGTGTTTCCAGTCCAGGTGGGGGAGGCCTGGTTGGGTTGGCTGCATCCTTGTCGTAGCTGGGCTGGGCGACATCTCTGGGGTGTCCAGTGAGTGCCACGGCCTTGCCATGTCATAAGGTTGGCATGTGTTGGCTTCTGGTAGCATTTGGGCTGTGCCTGAGGCAGCTCCTGGCTACGGAGTGAGGCGGGGAGGTGTGGGTGGTTCCCAACAGCGACACAATGACCTTCCTTGACGAGCCCCAGATATCGACAAGTTCACGGAGAAGGGCGGGCTGTCCTTCTCCCTTCTGTTGTGGGCCACGCTGAATGCTGCCTTTGTGCTCGTGGGCTCCGTGATTGTGGCCTTCATAGAGGTGAGGCAGCAGGAGGCCCCCAGGCGTGTCAGACCCAGGCGGGCTCGGAGGGTCTCAGTGAATGGATGGGAACCCCCTGATTCACCCACCATGCTGTCCTGTTGACCAGGAGCCATGATGCTTTCTGGTAGAATCATGTGGCACAGACATGAGACCGTTTAGGAAAAACACCCCCCTGCTCCCGGGGTTGCTGCTGCTGATCCAGCAACACAGTCCCCAGTACACCCCACCCCACGCCTACCTACGTGCCCCATAAGCATCCCACACCCACCTGCAGTGAGATCTGCCAGGGCAGTGGCACAGCCGACACGGGTTCCTGGGGGTGGGGTCTGGGGAGCAGAGTTGACCCAAGTCAGGGCTCCAGGCAGAGGAAGGAGCGTGACCTGTCCCTGTCCCATGGGACCCTCGCCAGGAAAATCAGACCCTCCTGGGTGCCCCATCACCCTGGGTCCTCTCCCAGAAGTCTTCCCTTCCCATGGGCCGCTGTATTCACTGCTCCACCTGGCCATGGGTGAGGAAAGAAGGAAGAGGCAGCTCTGGAACCTCTTGGCTGTCCTGCACACAGGAAGCGCTGGTGGTTTTTGCTTAGTGCGTGACAGGTGCCGTCCATCCTTGAGTCCCCACCCTCCCCTGACTCCTTGCAGGACACGTGGCTTCCTTCTCTCCCCACTCTGGCCCCTCCCACATCCACACTCTGTGTCTGTGGGGAAAAGTGAGAATGCATATTTCCAGAAATGAAGCCCTTCTGGGTGTGACCCAGCTCAGCACCTTCCTGGGACTATGGGGCTGTGTCGCTCCCTGGCCTCAGCTGTGCCCCGCTCAGTGGCACCCCTCTCTTTCCAGCCAGTCGCTGCTGGTAGTGGGATCCCCCAGATCAAGTGCTTCCTCAACGGGGTGAAGATCCCCCACGTGGTGCGGCTCAAGGTGAGGGGTGGGGTGACAGGACTGGGTGTGGGCAGGGCCCTGGCTGGGTCAGGAGCAGTTCCAAAACTAGCCAGGCTGTTTGTGTGCAGATGGGCTGACAGATCACGTAAAGGGGGAAACTTTTTTTTTTGAGTTGGAGTCTCACCCTTTCGCCCAGGCTGGCCTGGCGTGCAGCGGTATGATCACATCTCACCACAGCCTCAACCTCCTGGGCTCAGGTCATCCTGCTTCAGCCTCCTGAGTAGCTGGGACTACAGGCACGTGCCACCACACCTGGCCACTTTTTCTTTTGTTTTTAAATTTTTGTAGAACTAGGTCCCACTACTTTGCCCAGGCTGGTGTCAAACTCTTGGGCTCAAGCAGTCTTCTTACCTAGGCCTCCCAAAGTGCTGGGATTATAGACACGAGCCATTGCGCCCGGCAAAACTTTTTTTTGAAAGCAGTAATGTTTTGTACATACCAAATAGTGCAAAAATGCTTATGTGGTACATACATTACCATATATTACATATATGTATCTTTACTCAAGGACTATATGGCTGTCAATATTTCAGGATGAAATTAATCATGTGAGAGTGGTGGACTTGTGGTGGTTTTTTTCCCTGTTCTCAAAATCTGTATCAATACTCATTATACTTAACATTGTCAGTGGCACCCTCACTCTCTGGGGGCCGAGGAGTTGGACCACATCCCTGCCATGACTGTTTCTGACTGTGCTGTCAGTGTTCCTCACTGGAGCCTGGCCAGAGGCTTCTTCCACCCCATCTGAGAGGGTGGGTAGGGCTGCAGCTGCCCTTAGGGATGCTCCCAGGGCCTGGTGCCTGCAGCATGGGGGCCTGTGTGGTCACCTTCTGAGGAGAAGGGAAAAGCTCAGCTGGAGGCCTTAGGGTGCCATGCATTTACCTTACAGCAGAAGAACAGGATTGCTGGGAGTGGTGTCGATGACTGTTTCCCACACTGGGCTGGCTAGAACCTCCTAGAATGTTTTTTCTGAAAACCTTTGCAAGTGATGCTCAGATCTGAGAACTTTCATACCTGTCTGTAGCATGATACTTTCCTCCCTGCGGCCGCCTTCCTAGGACCTGGGTCGGCCTGAGGGAAGCGTTCTGAGTGGTGAGGGTTCCTACAGTCACCTTAGCTCCAAGTGCTGAGACTGCCAGGCTCTAGCGGGGGGTGTCAGCACCTCCTTGGCTCTGGCAGTGTAGGGGGCCCGACAGCACACCACCTCGGGCGGAGCGTGTGAGGAGGAGGAGGGAACCAGGGACAAGAAGCAGCCAGGGTCCGTCATGAAGCCTTCCCATGCCAGCAGGGTGGGAGGGCTGTGCGGCTGACCAGGCTGACGGGAACACCTTCAAGGGGCAGGCTGAGCTGGGATGTAAGACACGCCCACAGCTTAGCGTTGCTTCGGGAAGGAAAGACCCCCTCTCCTGCTGAATACTTGGTAACCCCTGGGTGTGTGGAAGAGGGGATGCTGCTGTTCACTGTTCATTGTGGCTGTGAACAGGCCCCCTGGGGGGCACTGGCCCTTCCTGGGCTCTGTGTCTCGGTAACTGTGTTTGGTCACGGTGGCTGCGTGTGCACTTTTGCTGCTCAGGACTGTGGGCAGCATTGGCCCAGTCATCAGGCTCAACATGTTTCCCTGTTTCAGACATTGGTGATCAAAGTGTCTGGCGTGATTCTGTCCGTGGTAGGGGGCCTGGCCGTGGGAAAGGTAAAGTGCACATGTGCTGTCCAGCCCAAGTCCCTGTACCCTACCAGGGACCCCGAGCCCGCGAGTTGCCCCTGACATGGTTGTTCTGCATCTTCCAGGAGGGGCCAATGATCCACTCGGGGTCTGTGATCGCTGCTGGGATTTCCCAGGGAAGGTCCACGTCGCTGAAGCGGGACTTCAAGGTGAGTGTCCCTCCTTCCTGTGTGCATGTAGCCTGGATGCCATGGACGTGAGCACCCCTGTAGGAGCTGAGCCTCCCTCAGCACCTCTAGGGGAGTCCCAGCCCTACCCAGGGACAGCCTGGCAGGATCCCAGATCAGGCAGACATAGTCCCTTTGTTTCTGACCACATGGCCTCTCTGTGGCCAGTCCCTACTGCTGTGCATGGATGCCATTTACTATGGAAAGTGTCTATGCTCTGAGCAGCTCTCAGGGTAGCACATACCCCAGATGAGACCAAGGACTGTGGATGTTCACATAGTATGTGTATGTTTCTTAAGATAATACTTTCAAACTACTGTGTCATGTTTCCCCAAAGAGTCACCAGCATTTTGATGGAGATGGCACTGTGCTTATGTATGACTTTACAGGCAGGTGACATTGTTAGAGCATAAGGCCTTTTAAAAGTCAAGGACAAGTTTAGGTTTTTATTCATTCAGTTTCTTATATCCCTTGGTAGAGTTCAGAGCTTCTCGTCTTTGGCGTGTGTTGTAAAGTGGACTCCCTGTTGAGGGGGTCTACCCGTCGTCTTTGCCTTGGTTGTTGGCAGCGGGGATCTGTTTTGCTCTGGCTGCTGTCTCTAGTACCTGCAGCCTGCAGTCAGTCCTCAGGGGTTAAGAAGGCCCTCCCCCTCTGCAACCCATCTTGGCGGCAATGGTCATCTCATTCCTTGGAGAAGTACCCTTGAGGAGCCGCCACAACCCTCCCTGTTGGACCTATTTCAGATCTTTGAGTACTTCCGCCGAGATACAGAGAAGCGGGACTTCGTCTCAGCAGGAGCCGCGGCTGGAGTGTCTGCTGCATTTGGAGCCCCAGTGGGTGAGAGGGGCTAGCCCGCCTGGCCTGTGGCTTCTCCCTCGGGAGCTTCCTGACTGGCGGTGTCCCTGCATGTGTGGAGGAGACTCGGTGTGTGCAGACTGAGTGGTGGTTTGGAGCCACTGGCTGGGATTTGGAAGAGGCATCAGTGTGCCGGGGCCGGGCCTCGGGGCCTGGAGAGTCCCTCCCCTGGGGCTCAGGCTACCCAGGGCTTCCCTCTCACCTAATCTTTACTCCCTAGGCCTGAGGCAGGTTTGGCGGTAGGCACAGCACAGTGTCTGGTGTAGTGTCTGGTATCTGAGATCTGGCTCTTGTCTTCTAGGTGGAGTCCTGTTCAGCTTGGAGGAGGGCGCCTCCTTCTGGAACCAGTTCCTGACATGGAGGATTGTAAGTGCCTGCGGCAGCTGCCTCCCAGTCAGAGCAGACGCCTTGCCCTCAACTCATGCTGCGGCACCCTTCCTGAGGCTCCCATCACAAGCTGTGATTGGCGCTGTGGCCCATGGGTCCTCAGACACGGCCTTGCCTGAGGCAGGGGTCATGCTCTTGCTTCCTGGCTCTTCTGCAGTCCTGGGCCTCGTTGCCAACCCTGGTGGCTCCTGACTGTGGAATGGAGTGGCCAGGAACCCTGCCCCTGCTGTCCTGTCCCTTCCTGTCCTCCCTGGCATGTCCACAAAGGGCCACAGCCCTGTTCTGGCCTGCCTACATGGTGGGCCCAGTCCCTGGCTGCAGTGCTTTCCCTTCTGCCCTGAATGACAGGAGGGCGATGTTCCTGCTGGAGCTACTCCCAGGTTCTGGGCACTCAGTGGGTGGGCTCGGAGCATGGCTCTGAGGGTGCTGCCCTCTCTCTGCTCTCAGTTCTTTGCTTCCATGATTTCCACCTTCACCCTGAATTTCGTCCTGAGCATCTACCATGGGAACATGTGGGACCTGTCCAGTCCGGGCCTCATCAACTTCGGAAGGTTTGACTCTGAGGTAACCACCAGCCACCCCACCTCATGCTCTGGCCCAGACTTGAGACTTGGTCTCCAGAAACTGCAGCCTTTGGCTGTTGAGCTGAGCTCTTTTGTTTATGAGCTCTGGGACCCAAGGGGCTCCAAGAAAACTGTCCTACAGGCCGCAACGGCCTCAGCCATCAGGCACCCAGAGTGTCAGGCAGGACGCAGGGGCACATGCTGAAGCCACATGAGAGACAGGCGAGCTTGGGCCATCGTGTCCTGGGGCAGCGGGAGGCAGGATGCACAGCAGGGTGGCTCAGTGGGCGACTTGGGAGCCATAGGGTGTGTTCCAGGAGCGGGGGACAGTGGGACGCACTGGAAGCCTGGCAGGACCTGCTCAAAACACCCGCATTTCTCCAGTGGGCCCTGTGGGAGTGCTGGAAGGTTCTGCAGGAGGAGATCTCCCACAACACCCTGCCCTTGAGTCTGAGTGGAAAAGAGCCATGGGCACTTCCCCCACAGCCTTTGCTCTCTCCCTTTCTCTGTGCAGAAGATGGCATACACAATCCACGAGATCCCGGTCTTCATTGCCATGGGCGTGGTGGGTAAGGGCCCCTCCCCGTCTGGGCCAGCACACCCCGCTTGAAATGGTGGATGGGTGAGGACTGAAGGCTGCAGGCCTCCACACGCCTGCCTCCTGCTCCAGGGCCCACAGGCCTGCTTCTCCTGGGTTCTTCCTTGGAAGGAACTGGAAGTCTTGTTTCTGCTGTTTCCTGTTACTTCTCCATTGGCAAAATCATGGATGGGAAAGAGAGAGGATTTTTTTCCCCCTAAGCGGGAAAAACACCCGGCAGCATTTATTACTCTAGAATCCTTTACCGGAAAGGAAAGCAGCGCCTTTGAGACATAGGCCCCCCTTGTTAGATATGATGATGTGCAGGAAGTGTGTTTCCAGGACTCTGCTCCATCCTCTCCATGGTAAAGCCTCAAGGGCTCTGCCACCCAGGAGCCGCAGAGGGCGGAGCCTGCCCCTCCCTCCATGTGTCTGACCTAGTCTTTCCTCCTGTCGCAGGTGGTATTCTTGGAGCTGTGTTCAATGCCTTGAATTACTGGCTGACCATGTTTCGAATCAGGTGAGGAAGAAACCTCTGCATGGGCATTTTGTTGGCAGGTGTGTATGCACAGGGCCTTTGAGTTGGTCATGCTGGCGTGGGCTTGATGCGCCAGGCCAGAGCTGAGACTGCATGTGCGGAGCCTTCCCTGATGGTTTGCAGCCAGCCAAGCTGCTCAGAAGAGACACATCTGGGGAGGGGGACATTTGAGCTGAGGGCCCCTGAAGGACAACCCCTGGGCAGGAAGTAGGACCCCGTGTGCGTTCAGTTTTGGTCCTGGGTCTGCCTAGTGGCGCCCTGCACCCAGTCAGCCCTTTGGTGTTGGAAGAGCAGTGGTTGAGCTGTTCTGGAACCTGCCCCGATCTCTTGGGAGCTCTTTCTCGCTCTGTGCCAGTCCCAGTGTCCATGAGTCTTTGCCACAGGGAGTCCCAGGACATGCGGGTGCCTGGGCGATTGATCATGAGACGTGGCCTGTGTCACCTCCCGATCAATGTTCTCTGACCAGTGTCTGCTGAGTCGCAGACTCTGGTCACCATGGCAACTGCCAGGGGCTGTCCCAACCATCCCACACGTGGCCCATCTGACTCTTGTCTCTAGGTACATCCACCGGCCTTGCCTGCAGGTGATTGAAGCCATGCTGGTGGCCGCTGTCACAGCCACGGTGGCCTTTGTGCTCATTTACTCATCCCGGGATTGCCAGCCCTTGCAGGGGAGTTCCATGTCCTATCCACTCCAGGTAGGAGGTCTGGGCCGGGCGGTGCGGCAGGCAGGTGCATGGGCAGGGCTGGATTCAGAAGCTGCAGCAGAGGGCTGTCGACACAGTTGAGCTCCAGAAGTGGACAGGCTGGCGTGCCAAGAGGGTCAACCTATACACCCAGATCCTCAGAGGAGGCTGGGCCGCCTGCCAGGATGCTGGGGCACAGGTAGGAGGGTGGAGGTTGAACTCTCCCAGTCCTTGCCCCACAATGGCAGCCTGATGGGGAAATTCAGAGCTGGAGGGCCCATGGGTGTGGATCCAGGAGAAATGCCAACCTACAGCCATACACAAACCCGTGTATAGGTATTCACCACAACACGATTCTTAGTAGTCCAGAGTGGAAGCTGCCCACGTCCATTCATCCGTAGGGAATACTGTCCTGACATGCTACAACACAGGTGAGCTTCAAAAAATACTTGTGCTCAGTGAGAGAAGCCAGACACATACGGCCACCTCTGTGATCTCGCTGACATGAAACGTCCAGAACAGGGAAACCCAGGGCAGAAAGAAGGTCAGGGCTTGCCAGGGCTTGGGGCAGGATGGGGTGGGTGCTGACAAGACATGTGCATAGCTGTTGGGTGTGGTCTGGCTTGGCTGTCCATGGTGCCGTGGCTTGGCGAGCCCTGCTTCTCTCTGGCCCAGTCCTCTCAGGGGCCTCAAGGCTGAAGGTCCTCAGCTCTGCCTCAGTCTTGGAGAAACTGGGCCCCCACTTTTCCCAAGGTCCAGGGGCAGCAGAGCTGGAAGTGCCTCTGCAGCCCTCACACTTCCTAGGCCTGGGCTCTGTCCTCCCTCCCCGTCATGACGGCAGCCCCAACCTGGTCCCATCATGTGGGCTCACACCTGAAGTCGCCAGGCTCGGAGCATGCAGTTCCCCACAGTGACAGTAGGCCTGTCCGCAACTCCCTGGCTGTCCTCCCTGACCTGTCCTACTCTTGCAGCTCTTCTGTGCGGATGGCGAATACAACTCCATGGCCGCCGCCTTCTTCAACACCCCCGAGAAGAGTGTGGTGAGCCTCTTCCATGACCCACCAGGTATGTGCTGGACAGCGCATCAGGCCCTACGTAAGCCACTGGGGCAGGTTCTTGGCCCAGTGTGGGTGACACCTTTTGACCAAGTGTCCCTGGTGGGCTGAGGTCACTGTCCTGGGCTGGGGGTCATCCCCACATGGGTTGGGGGCTGGGGACCAGGGCCTCTGGGGGCTGCACATCGGGCCTCTCCTGTTCCTGGAGGATGAGCACCTGGGCTCCCAGGATGAATTTCCTTCTGGGTGCTGCTAGCTTGGGTCACTCTCAGTCAGAAAACCTGGCCTGGAGATTCCCACTCCAAGGCCATGGCCTGGTGTGGCCTAGCCACACATCGGACAAGGGCACAGACTGCTGCTGTGCAGTGCACTGCACCTCAGTGGCTGAGGCCCCCTGCAGCCTGGCCTGCCCGTGCCCAGAGCAGTGCACTGACTGGGCATGGGACCTTCCCCCAGGCCAGGCTGTGGCTGCACCCGTGGCGTTCACACCATGGAGGGTGGAAGCCTTGCTGCATGGGGTCGAGCCTGGGCTGCTCCCCAGTCATGGCTCCTGCTGCCGCCCTGGGCAGCATCCTCCCACGGCCTCCCCCAGGCCATCCTTGCAGCCCTTCCTTTTGCCAGGGAGACTGAGAACGGGGGACTTTCTGGGGACCCCCGGGATGCCATCAGGAAACCTGTCTGCTCCTCCTCTCCCCTAGGCTCCTACAACCCCCTGACTCTCGGCCTGTTCACGCTGGTCTACTTCTTCCTGGCCTGCTGGACCTATGGGCTCACAGTGTCTGCCGGGGTCTTCATCCCGTCCCTGCTCATCGGGGCCGCTTGGGGCCGGCTGTTTGGCATCTCTCTGTCCTACCTCACAGGGGCAGCGGTGAGTGAGGGTGGGGCTGAAGGAGAGGCCAGCCTGAATCCCAGCGTATTCAGGAGGTGCTTGCGCTAGGTGGCCTGCATGGGTGTGCCCGGCCGTGGGAGTCACTCCCGTGTGTGGGCTGTTGGCGTGTGGCCGCCTTCATTGTGTCTTCGTGGGTCTGGGTGGGGGCCGCATCACACTGACCCCTGCTCTGTATCACTCGCAGATCTGGGCAGATCCCGGCAAGTACGCACTGATGGGAGCTGCTGCCCAGCTCGGTAAGCCCAGCTCCTGCACCACTGGTGGTGGCGGACTCTGCCGGGCCAGGAGGGGGCACCTGTGGAGAGCAGAGCCAGGCAGCCCTGCACAGGGTGTCAGGGGAAGAGTGCCCAGGGCAGCCCAGGCCAGTTCCCTCCACGGTGACTGTCCTCATGTGACTGGAGGACAGGTGGATGGGCCTAGGTGCTGCACAGAGAACGTGGGTGGCTACAGGGGCCCAGGAACAGGGTCGGGAGGTATGAGAAGTCCAGCTGAGGCCTTATGGCCCATGGCCCCCTGCAGGGGGCATCGTGAGGATGACCCTAAGCCTGACGGTCATCATGATGGAGGCCACCAGCAACGTGACCTACGGCTTCCCCATCATGCTGGTGCTCATGACAGCCAAGATCGTGGGCGACGTCTTCATCGAGGTGTGCTCCTGGGGACCAGCTGCCCCCATGCCCTGGCCTTGCTGTGGGGCAGCTGTGGAGGGAGAGGCTTGTGAGGCCCCGGGCGGCCCCTTGCCTAGGGGAGGGCCTGAGGTGAGCCTGGGGGCCACGTGTAACCTGGCCCCTCCCCCCAGGGCCTGTACGACATGCACATCCAGCTGCAGAGCGTGCCTTTCCTGCACTGGGAGGCCCCGGTCACCTCGCACTCACTCACTGCCAGGTGTGCCACCTTGCCCCTCCCCCTTCAGGCTTGGGTCGCAGAATAGGCAGGGTGGGTGGGGGTGTGACTGGGGGGAGGTACCCACAGGGTGGGGGCCTGGGTTTCCCCTGTTGGGCATCAACGCTGGCACAGAAAGCGCCTTTCCCAGCAGCACCTCCCCAGTGTGTGGAGTAGCAGTGGGGTGGTAACACACCAGTGTTTCGGGCTGGGCTTCCTCACAGGGAGGTGATGAGCACGCCAGTAACCTGCCTGCGGAGGCAGGAGAAGGTGGGCGTCATCGTGGATGTACTCAGCGACACAGCATCCAATCACAATGGCTTTCCGGTGGTGGAGCAGGCAGACAACACCCAGGTGCCAGGGCCTCCCCTCCCACGGGCCTCTCCTCCCAAATCCGTTGAGCGTGGCTAGGGCACCCTGCATGAATCCCACGTGGGATGGGGTGGAGCAGCACCACACCTGCACAGCCATCTCACCACCTGCTGGGCCCAGAGCTGCAGGACTGGGGCCGTGGCCTTTTTCAGGTGACACTGAGATGCCTCCCGACCATCACTGTGCCCCTTGGATGTGGGCACCAGGTGGTTGGGGTTGGCTGTCCTTGTGACACACGGGGCTATCTCTCCCGTAAGCAGAGTGGCCACCAGTGGACCTCTTTTGGGGCCATGCACTCGGGCCACGCTGCCGTCTCTGGTCCTGGGGGACTAGTGAGATCAGGCATGAGATGCCTTGGCAGGGCTAGTGCTTGTGGGTGGCTGTTTCAGTGACCATACCTGGATGGAGCATCTGACTGGAGAGAGGCCGAGCCCAGGGCCTGGCATGGCAGCCCCTACAGGCGTTATGGCCCCTGACCACTGGCCTCTCTCACAGCCCGCGCGGCTCCAGGGCCTGATTCTGCGCTCCCAGCTCATTGTCCTCCTGAAGCACAAGGTAGGCCATGGGTGCCAGGGCTCCAACCTGCTGGTGAGCGTGGCCTCGGAGGGTGCCCAGCACACCTGATGCAACTGCCGCCCACAGGTGTTTGTGGAGCGCTCCAACATGGGCCTGGTGCAGCGGCGACTGCGACTGAAGGATTTCCGCGATGCCTACCCCCGCTTCCCACCCATCCAGTCCATCCACGTGTCTCAGGATGAGCGCGAGTGCACCATGGACCTCTCTGAGTTCATGAATCCCTCTCCGTACACGGTGCCCCAGGTACCGGTCGTGAACGCTGAAGACAGAGCCAGTGGGCGGTACAGGACATGTAGCCACGAGCAGAGCCGCAAGGGGGAAGAGCCTGCGGCAAGCGGCCTTCTGCAGCCGGAAGAGCAGACTGTGGGCTCTGGGGCACAGCCATGGGACCAGCCCATGCTTACCCCGAGACTCAGGCTCTGCCCCATGGGGAGGGCACCAGCGGGTTCTAGGCTTCAGGGAGCCCAGGCAGCAGCTTGGACAGGGACTCAGAGGCTGCAGGGCTGAAGCCAAGGGACCCAGATAGGCCAGGCCAGATGGGCTGGGGACTTGGGACATGCCTGGACATCTTGGGTGGGGTGCTGAGCATAGCTGAGCATGGCAGACAAGTCCTGCCTACCTCTGGCAGGCGGGGGTGGCCAGGCTGACCCTGTACCTGCCTTGCAGGAGGCGTCGCTCCCACGGGTGTTCAAGCTGTTCCGGGCTCTGGGCCTGAGGCACCTGGTGGTGGTCGACAACCGCAATCAGGTGAGGGCGGGCAGTCTGCGCCCGGCTCGTGGGAACCCTGGAGCAGGGACTCCGTGCAGGACTCTCTCCACCTCCTGTGTCAGCCTGCACTGGTCATGGGTGCTTGTTCTCATTGCCCTGTGGGGGACCCAGCCTGACCCTGCCTCCTGGGTTGGATGGCACAGTGCCTGCACCCTGGGCACATGCCCGCTTTGGGAGCACCCTAGACTGTGCTGCCCACCCTGCCACACGCAAGGCAGCTGCGGATCTCAGCCCTGTAACCTGGCTTTTACTCCCACAGGTGGTCGGGCTAGTGACCAGGAAGGACCTTGCCAGGTACCGCCTGGGCAAGGGCGGCCTGGAAGAGCTCTCTCTGGCCCAGACGTGAGGCCGGGCCCCAACCCTGGCGGGCAGCGGCACTGACACCTCCAGCCCCTCTGCACCTTCCCCCAGAGTCACTGGTCTCAGTAAAGCCTCACTCCCTGAGCAGCGTGAGCAGGCGTCCTGCAGATAGCTGGGTGGCCCACGTGGGAATGTGCCCTCAGCATGGGCTGTGGCCTGCGTTCTCTGTGGTTTGTCCAGACCCCGAGCCCCCTTTTGACTTCCTTTGCCTCCCAGGATCAAGTGCGTGTACGCCAGCTCCTCTCTAGTGACCACATGTGCCGGGGGCGGGGCTGAGGCTCCAGATTGCGCTGCCACTTCCTGTCCTCCCCTGGCAGGAGACCCCAGGATGGGAGCCGGCCTGGCCCCTCAGCCAAGCGGCCGCCCCAGCTGGACTCACAGTGTGAGGGTTTGGGGTGGCAGGACAAGCCCTGGAGAGCCGCCATGGGGGAGCCCCACTCGCACCCGGGTTTGTACGTAGCTCAAGTGAGCACGGCCCTGGAGGGCGACGGGTGCTGCGCTGGGGTCCCGAGAGCCGAGAAGAGTCATCGAGGCCTGAGCCCCCATGTCCAGCCTCACTTCTGGTGCCTGGGTCCTCACGAGGGGTGACTGCCCTGTGGATGCAGGCTGGGATGGCACATGGGGACCCTGGCCTCGGCAGGGACACCCTCTCCTGCCTGTGCCCGCCATGAAGTGCCGACACAGCTGAGGTGGCCTCTTGCTGGCCTCTGAGGAGCTCTGGCTCAGCCTGGCCGCTCGTCAGGGCTGGCATGCACCAGAGCCCAGATGTCCTCAGCCTGCCCACCAAGGGACGTGGGTGCCTCCTCCTATGGGATGTGTTCCAGAAGGTTCTGTTGCAGCAGCGTGGTCCTTCCATGGGGGCTGCAGATGCCACCTTCAGCTGTCCTCCCTCCCGAGGAACGGCCTCCCGTGAGCTGGTGCCATGCCCCCCTCCAACCCTCACGGGGACTCGAGGGGTCTGGCATGTCAGGTCTGAATGAGAAATAAAGGCATCCCCCTCAGACAGCCTGCACCAGCCTCCTTGCTCCCACCTAGCTCAGGCCACAGATCCCAGCCTGGGACCTTCAGGGCTCTGGGCGCTGAGGGGCCTCCCTGTGACCGGCAGCAGCCACAGGCACCCACTGGCCTGGGGGGTGAGGTTCCAAGTGGGGTCCTGTGGGAGGGCTCCTTCCTCATTCTGGGCACCGACCACTGTGTCATCCCCACCCCACGGCCTCCTTTCTGGGGACTTGCTGAAGAGCCTGGCCTCCACCTCCCCAGCTCTTGGGTACAGCCCTGTCCCCGCCTGGGCAAGCCAGTTGGGAACGCTTCTTCCCAGGACCCTCAGCCTGCACGGCACTCCACAGGCCCCTGGCTCCCGCCAGTGTGTCTGGGGGACAAAGCAGAGGCGCTCCAGGCAGGGACTGGGAGCAGCTGAACTGCACTGAAGCAAGACACCTACCTGGCCTCAAAGACTTGGTACCAAAAACGCACGTGCAATATCTCCTTCCACTTGTTTTATATTGAATACCTGTGAAATCATATTTTGGATATATTAGGTTAAATAAAGTGAACTGTTATAATTCACTTTGCCTGTCTCTTGTTTTGAGTCGGGGTCTCCGTCGGCCAGGCTGGAGTGCAGTGGCACAATCACAGCTCATCGCAGACTCAACCTCCTGCGCTCAGGCGACCCTACCTCAGCCTCCCACTCAGCTGGGTCTACAGGCATGAGCCCCCATGCCTAGCTAAGTTTTGTAGTTTTTGTAAAGTTGGGGTCTTACAATGTGGCCCAGGCTGGTCTCAAGCTCCTGGCCTCAGGCAATCCTTCTACCTCCGCCTCCCAAAATGCTGGGATTACAAGTGTGAGCCACAGCACCCAGCCACACTTGTCTCTTTAATGTGGCTACTAGGAAGGCTGAAGTCACCAATGCAGCCTCATCTGTGACCCCTAGCATGGCACTGCCTTGGGCTGCTTTCTTCGGGCTTTAGGCCTCCACACTGGGCTGTAGGACCAGCTGTCTGGTCTGTCCTGGGCTCTTGGCCGCTCTGCTCCTCATCTCACCCGGACCAGTGGTGGCTCACGCGTCTCCCCCTCCTGCCCAGGCCGAGAGCCTCCTGACTGCCACAGGCCCGCAACCGCTCCTCCACCCCGGGCTAGCTGAAGGAAGCCCCTTTGTAAGAGGACACTCCTCTGCTCCCTTTGGGAGGGCCTCCCAGGTTCTTCCAGAGGCAGGCAGTTGGGGAGGCCTTCTTGGAGCAGGGGAGTTGGGGGCTCAAGTTCCACCGGCAGTTGAGCCGTGAAGTCACGAGGTTCTGGCAAGGGAAGCCCGCTGCCAGCCGTGCCTGGGCCCCGGGGACTCCCTGAAAGGAGACGGGTGTGAGGACTGGCACTGCCTCCCCTACACCTACCTACCCTGAGGCCCAGCCTGCTTTCTGGCCACGTACCCGTCTCTCCCTGGCCAACCCCACCCCCCTGGCCTGGTGTCCAGCGTGGGCAACCACCGAGGCCTTGGGGCCCAGGCCGCAACCGCAGGTGTGCCCATGTCGGGTGAGCAAATGCCGACAGGGATGGGCCGGGAGGTGCAAGTTCAGGGAAGGGCCTGGCTGTGGTGTGGGCCACACGGGATGGCTCTGCTTTCCGATCCCCAGGGCTCCGTCTGGAGCCACCCCGGTGGGGGCACTGCCCTGTTTCTGCTGCACAGTGCTGTGTATCCTCTGGCAGGGTCCTGGACCTCTCTGAGCCTGGACCCACCTGTGCGGCTCAGCGAGAAGTCGTGAGCTCAGGATGGTCGGCAATGTCCTGCCATGACTTGGGTCTTGTCATCACGAACTCCAGGGGGAGCCAGGGCCAGGAGGGCTCAGCTCTCAAGACACCTTCTTGTAGAGCTGGCTGAGAGCAGCCCGTCATCGGGGGCATCGCCCACCTCCCAGTCGAGCACCGTCCCTCTGGACACCCTGGGACCACTCCTGGTGGGAGGCCTGGCCAGCCCCGAGCCCTTGAGCCTGGAGGAGATCTCAGTGAGGTATGAGTCCGGCCACCTGGCGTCCACCGCTTCCATCCCGGAGCAGGACACCGCCAAACGCTGGGACCAGCTGGAGCAGTGGTGAGCCCTAGGGGCATGGGGACAGGGACTAGGGGTGCCTGGGTGTGGGGGTCGGACCACGCCTGACTCGGCTACATTCTCGCCCCGGCCAGGGTGGCCGACCTGCAGGCCGAGGTGGCCAGCCTGCGGCGCCACAAGGAGCGCTGTGAGCTCGCCACACTGCGCCTGCTTCGGGAGCTGCTGCAGGTGCGGGCTCATGTGCAGCTGCAGCAGGCGGCACCAGTCCCCGAGAAGGAGGTGCCAGAGGTGAGCAGCGCCCCCCGGGACCAGCAGCCCTTTCCTTGGGGTGGGGCAGCTGCTTCCTGAACCCCGGGCCCAGCTGAGCCCTGCTGCCCAGGCCAAGCCAGGAGAGCCCCCTGAGACTGAGCTGGAAGGACCCCAAGGGCAGGGAGGAGACCCAGCTCACACCAGGCCCACATCCTCCTCTTGCAGCTCTTTGGACCCCCGAACCAGACCCAGATGCAGGCTCTGGACAAAAGGTATCCCCCCACACGCTGGGGCACAGGCCTTCGCAGGAGGGAGGGGCTCGGACTTCAAGAGAGCGGCCGCTGTGGCGCCCCGGGTCTTCGCTCCCCTGTTGGTTGTCCTGCTCAGGGAGGCAGCACACTACACGGTCCAGCTCAGAAAGGCCTCGGTCTGCACAAGCTGACCGTGGAGGCCTGTGGAGGCAGAGAAAGTGGTGCGGGGCGGCCATGGGGCCCCTGGGCTGGACCTCCAGCCCCGAAGGCTGCCCAGCCTGTCTGGGCCTGGCCACAGCAGCTCCTTGTGTGCAGGCTGGTGGAGGTGCGAGAGGCGCTGACCCAGATCAGGAGGAAGCAGGCGCTGCAGGACTCGGAGCGGAAGGGCGCGGAGCAGGAGGCCAGTCTCAGGTGGGCCTGCTCGCCCCGCTGGCCCCGGCCTGCGGTCATTTGGGAGTTGCTGGCTCAGCCAACCCAGCGTTTCACTGCCCCGTGCCCCCAGCCTAGCTGCACATTCCCGGGGACCCCCCATGGGGAGGAGAGATGGTATCCACCCTGCCTCCCTTCCTTCCCTGTACCCAGTGCCCAGCACACCCAGCTCTCACTCTGGGGTCAGTTTTCCACTTTGGGTGGGTCATGCAGCTGCCCAGCCAGCCTGAGGGTCAGCCTCGGCCCCCAGAGACAGGCCCTGGCCCAAGAAGGACTGGTGTCCAGTGGTCTCTTCAGCCCGTGTCCCCAGCCAGGCCCTCAGGCCAGCTGGGCTGGTGTGACCACGGCCAATGTCCCTAGGCTGACCAAGTTGACCGACTTGCTGAGGCAAGAGGAGCAGGGTCGAGAGGCAGCCTGCAGTGCCCTGCAGAAGAGCCAGGAGGACACCAGCCAGAGGGTGGACCGCGAGGTGGCCAGGATGCAGGTACCCACCCGGAGGCAGGGGCCGCCAAAAACCTGGGAGGAGACCCCAACTCTCCCACTGGACCCTTACCGTCGACAGGTTCTTCCTTCCTGCCAACTGTCTGTTCAGTTCTGTCCACAGGATTAGACCTGGGCAGGTCCCCAAGTCCTGTGCTGTCCAGTAAGTGGCCACTCACCCCAGGGGGCTCTGTCCACAGAACTTAGCTACAATGTTAGATGACTTAAGACTCACTTCCAGCCGGATGTGGTGGCTCAAGCCTAGAATCCTAGCACTTTGGGAGACCAAGGTGGGAAAATCACTTGAGGCTAGGAGTTTGAAACCAGCTTGGGTAATAGAGTGAGACCCTCTCTAAAAAAAAACCCCAAAACTAAAAAGTCCCTCAGTTCCTTGGCTGCACACCTGCATTTCAAATGCTCAGTAGCTATGTGTGGCCCGCAGCTGCCCCTTGGGTGTCCTGAGTGGCTGCTGAAGAGCCCAGCCGCTGTCCTGCCACCTCCACCCTCCCGCATGGCCAGGGCCCAAATCAAGAACTAACGAGAACACCACAGCCCTGAAGCCCCCTCAGCGGCCATTTTCAGCCTCTGCATCGCCCTCCCCACAAAGAGGAGTCACTGTCCTGAGGACGCATGTTTCCGGGACCCCGAGCCCCACTCATGGGCTAGTGCGGTTTCCCCTCCCACTGTGGCCTTAGGAGGGCCCTTGGCAGTGGGGTGGCGGACACCCGGCAGCCACACATCTCAGCACCAGGCCTGGAGTTCTGCAAATAGAGACTAGGGACTGCAGCCAGCTCCTGGCACACAGAGGGTGGGGGTTGAGGCCACACGCTCCCCAGCTGCCGCCCGCATAGCTCTGCTGCTCAGAGCTGATGGCCTCCCCTTGCCGCCCTTTGGGAAGGTAGCACAGTGGCTGTGGACGGAAGGGGTGGGGAGGAGGTGCCAGGCTGGGGGTTCCCGACCCGCTGGGTGTTGGGAGAACTGCCCTTGTGGGGCTCCTGCCTCTTCCCTGAGCATGGGACATCTCTAGGCATCTCTAGGGACAGGGGCCGCAGGCTAGGCCCACCACTGTTTTTGTAAATAAAGTTTTATCGGCACACAGCCACAAATTGGTTTTACATAGCTGCTCTGGGGGCTACAACCCCCGTGCTGAGGGACTACGGCAGAGACCCTGAAGCCTGGAGTGTGTGCTGCCGGCTCTTCCCAGGAAGACTGGGGTCCCCTCCTGGGCCAGCAGGCCAGTGGGGGCTGGGCAGAGTGAAGGCCTCCCTGGAGGCAGTCCACGTTGTGGTGGTGGTGGCTCTCTGGCCTGTCTCTGGGCAGGCCCCAAGTGCTGTGGTTGTGGAGAGGGGCCAATCTCGGCCTCCTGCCCCACAGATGTGTGAGACACGGGGACAGAGACCAGCTGTGCCCACCTCACCCTCTGCACCTTCAGACCCTTGGTGCAGCAGGAAAGCCGCTGTCAGAGAGGAGACAGGGCCCGAGGCTCTGCCCAGCCTGCCCTGCTTCCCCTGGGGAGAGGTGCACATCCGTGGGGTGCTCACACGAACACTCCTGCCTGCAGCTTCGGGGCTGCTGTGCACCCTTCCCTGGGTGGCAGCAGTGGGCAACAAGTGTGTAGGAGCCCATGTGAACTTGACCTTCAGACTCTTCCGAACCCCCGGGCCTGGTGGTCCGGGGACAGTGGCCCTGCCGGCCCTCGCATTCCTCCTGCCGCGGGTGTGGCGGGTGCCGGGGAAGGCAGGGCACACGTCACCCAGCTCTGACGGGCACAGCTGGCAAGAAGGCGAGTACGGGGCCGGGCTGTCCAGCCGAGGTCGCAGGGCAGTGTGGACCCTCCCCAGGCCCAGGTGACCAAGCTCGGCGAGGAGGTGAGCCTGCGGTTCCTGCGGAGGGAGGCCAAGCTGTGCGGCTTCCTGCAGAAGAGCTTCCAGGCTCTGGAGAAGGTGGGCGCCTGCGGCCGGCCGCCCGTGCCCCCTCCCCAGGCGCAGGCGCAGACGCCACGGTGGGCTTTCCCCGCAGAGGATGAAGGCCTCGGAGGGCTCGCGGCTGAGGCTGGAGGGCAGCCTGCGGGAGG